TTATTTTAATAAATATAATACTTAAATGAATAAATTAGATGACAGTTATTAAACAAGTAATATAAACATTTTTTAATATTTATATAAAAAAATTAAAAAAAATTAAATTAAAGTTTAGTTTAAATAAAATTTACATTAAACTAAGTAAGCATATATAAAAAATTGTTTAGAAGAAGATATAACACCTAATCCGAAAATTATAAACATATTCAAACAATCAATTGAAAGTATATATAAATATATATATATATATATATATATATATATATATATATATATTATTATATATATTTATATATATTTATATATTAATTCACATATTTAATATTATGTAGATTAAAATGTTTATGTTTATATTAATTTAAAAACCTAAATTTAACAGACATTGAAATACATCCATTTATAAATTCCATATAGGTAAATAAAAATCTTTATAAAAATAATTATATTAATTTATTATATATATTTATATATATATTTATATATACATATATATATCTTTATATATATATTTTATTTTTATAAAGAATGATATTTATATAAAACAAATAGACTTGACTAATAATAAAATTGAAGTAATACAAATTTTTCTTTTTTATTTTATATTTTTTTTTTTTAAAAATAGTAAATTACTATCTTTTTTGATATTTTAAACGAATAAAATAATATTTAAAATTTAATTCTAACTGGAAACTGTAAAATCATTTTTTTTTTTTTCTAATAAAAATTTAGATATTAATTAAAATCATATTTAGAAATTAAAGCATTTTGCTGAGTAAATAAATAAGAAAATTAATATTGAATTTTAAAATTTAAAATAATAATAATAACCTTAACATTTCTTTTCTTTAAAAGACTAAGTAATTGAAAAAATAAACCAATCAAAATAAAATATGACTAATTCTTCTATAAATTCTACTTGTGTGTCTTCTTCTTTTAATAATTTTTAATCTAATTAGTCTAATTTCGATTTATAATTGATCAATAATGAACATAAAGCTTAATTTTAATAAATTAATATGTCACCATTTGAATAATAATTATATAATAAACCGAATTAAAAGAAGATTAAAATAATAAATAAATAAGAATTCGAATAAGAAAATAATATAAATAATAGTAATATTGAAAACTTATAAAAGGCGTTTATTTCAAATAATTAATTAAGTATTTTTATTTAAGAAATTTTTAAATAATTAAATATTTAAAAAATTGATTCTAAATAGTTTATAAATGAAATAATTAAAAGATAAAATTAAGTAAAGAAAAAAAAAAAAATAGTTTATTATTTCTATAATTTATTTAAAAATAAAATAAAAAAATAGTTGTTTTAATTAATTAATTCAAAAAAATATATATATAATAATGAAAATTATATTAATTTAAATTCTTTTATAAAAGCTTTGGCCTATTAGAATATATAAGAATTGTCCTAAAACCAAATTTTTGATTTAATAAATACTCTTTGTAAAGATTAAAATTCTAATGAAGAAATAATAATCCGTTTATAGAAATGTCCCCCTTTAAATAACACTTCTAATACTAATAGTTATATAAATAACAGTAATAGTTCAATAAATAGTAGTAGTTTAATAAGATAAAATGTTAATTTAAAGGTAAATAATAAGGAAAATGTAGTCTTAAATAAATCACAAGTAAATATAATTAGTCCTTTAAATAAAAGTTAAAAAAAAAATACTTAAATAAACTAAAGTTAATAAAAATAGAAAACTTAATTTAATTTATAAAAAGAAAATAATTTTAATTATAGTACATAATAATAATAATAATAATAATAATAATAATAATAATAATAATAATAATATAAAACCTAAATTAATAATAATATAGACAGTCTAAATAATTAAGTTTAAGGAGGAGGAAAATAGTAAATAAATAAAGGAGAATATATAAATGTATCTGAAATACTTTATTAATAGTATGAATATTAATAGAAATTAAACAAATAAAACAAATAAGAGAATCTTATAGAATAAATAATATCACCTTTAAAATAATAATTAGTTTCTAATAATATATAAGGAAATAAATAGATGAATAATACTATTGATTCTCCTATTCATTAAAATAAAAACTTATCTAAGTCTAAAATTTATGATTCGGAATTTAGAAATGTAATTGTTTCAGATTATATTGATATTAATTAGGAGTTTTTGGAAAAAGAAAAAAATATTAAAAATAATTTTTTTTTTCAAATAAAGAAGATGATTTTTAAAAAATGTTCTCGTTTAACGATTATTTAAAAATTAATATTAAAAATTAAGAAAATAATACTAGTATTCTTAATCAGACTTTTGGACGAGAAAATAACGAAAAACTTACTTTTAAAGAAACCGTTTTTTAATTAGAATAAATTATAACTTAATCTTCAGATTAAAAACAATTACTTGAATAAATTAAAAATCATATAGTATATGATTATAATAAATGTCCTTTTATAGGAATAAAACTGGAGTATTTGAACAAAAATAAATACCATATTTAAATTTTGTAGTCTAATATATTTAAATAATATTTAAATTATTTATAAGCTTTGAAAATTTCATTTAGTTAAATTGAAAAGTTGTATGGAATTTGCTCTTTTTTTAATGAGAATTTAGTAGTGTTAAATTTGGCTTTTAATAATTTAAAAAATATAGAGTTTTTATAGAAATGTAAAAGCTTAGAATTTCTTAATGTTTCTTATAATTCGATTTAAAATTTAAATGGACTCGAAAATTTAATTAATTTAAAAGAATTTTATGGCTGTTATAATTAAATTTCGTTAATTAATATTAATTATAATAACTAATTAAAATAAATTGACTTATAAAATAATCTTATTGATAGTATTCATTAAATTTAAGTTTAAAGAAATAATCAAAAAGTAATATTAATTAATATTTAGAATAATCCTATCTGTAATAAAGGTAATTATTAAAAACTAATTTAATCGAATTTATCCAGTCTTAAATTAATAGATGAACCTAACCCTAATTTTATTTAAGAAGTAATAAATAAATATATTTAAGATATTAAATTATGTCTATTAAAATAAAGGGTTTATCAGAATTTAATAGATACAAAGAAATATGTTTTTTAGAAAACGAAGAAATAAAAACATATTAAATGAGATAGTAAGCAAAAGACAATATGCAAAAAAATATATAAACTTAATAAATTATTATATAGTAAAGTTAAAGAAATAATAGGTCTACTAGTCCACTCTAAAAATAATAAAGTTAATAAAATATGAATAAATAAAAAATAATCGAAGTAAATAAATTAAAAAATTAACAAAAAATTTAAATATAAAATTAGTCTTTGAATAATATTATCTCATCTTAAAAAAAAAACAGATAATCAAAAAATAGTATATAATCATAATAGCAAAATTAAAGTTTAGATAAACCTAAAATTTCTTTAAATTTATATAAAATTAATGTTAATAATAATAAATAAAAATATAATTAAAATTTAAAATTAGAAAAAAAATAATTATCTAATGTTTTTACTTTTTGTAGAGGTAAATATATTTTTTTATGTCATATATATATAAATATTTATAAATATATATATAAATATATTAATATATTTTTACATATTTTAATATATATTAAAAATTTTATAGATAATTAGAAAATATTATAAATAAAAAATAATACTAATCATATGGAAAAATATAATAGTAATACTTTTAGATATTAAAAATAGTTTTGAAATTTTATAATATTTTTTATATATATATATATATAAAAAATTTATTTATTATACATATATTTTACTATCAAACTTATATAATCAATAAAACAATTTGTATATTCGAACATAATATTTTTATAGTTTTTAAATATGAATTGAAATATTTTAATATATCAAAATGAATATTTTAAATAATAAATAAAATATAAATTAAAATTTCTTAAAATAATAATAATATTTGAATTTTAAAATAATAATTTAAAAAAAAAAAAATTATATATATTATTATTACATCATGTAAAAATAAAATAGCATTTAAGATGATAATGAAAAATCTGGAAAATAATTATTTAATAAAATACGAGCTCAATGGACAAATCCGAATCAATAAAAATAAAATCCTCCTAATAATTATGAAATTTATGGATAAATATAACCAAAAGATTTATAATTTATTTATGATATAATTTAATAATAAAGACCTCCTTATTAACCATTTAAAAAATATATAAAACTTAATGATATTGTTGATATTTTATAAGAATTTTGGGAAGATGAGAATTGAAAAAACTACAATAAAAAAGATTTTAATTTTTTTTTAACAAAAAATATTAAATAAAAAAAAAAAATAAAAATAAAAAAAAAAACAATTTATTACTGTAAAATTAATAACAAAAAAAAAATTATATCAAAAAAAAAATAAGAATAAACATTATAAAAAATATTAATAATATTATTAAAAAGATAATTTATATAGTTTATTTACAAAAATAATGAAGATAATATTTATTTCTTTTATAAATAAAATATAAATAAAAAATAAATAATAATAATAATAATATTAATAATAATAATAATACTTATTATAATAAATCAATAACAATAATTTTATATATTTTACAAAACATAATCTAAATGAAAATTACAATATTTAAAAACCTTACTTGCGTCTTTTTAGGATTGTTTATTGTTTTTTTAAGTATAGGATTAGTAGTTTATTTTTATTTAAATTATTCTTTAGATACATTAATTTTATAAACTTCATAATTAACTAGGTAATTTAATAAAAAATGAAAAAAATAAATTAAATTTATAAAAATATATTTATCAATAAAGTACTAAATTTAAAGAATGGGGTGAATATCCAGGATACAATAATGTTTTTTTAAATAAAACAATAAGACTTTTTTAAATCTAAAAATAATAAAATTAAGATATTAATGATTTACCATTTGGTGTATTAAATATAAAAAATTAAATATTTTATATATTAATATTTATTTAAAATATATTTAAAGATAGGTGATGAAATAAATATGAAATTAAGCTAACCTTATTATTATAATTATACATTCAAATTTGAAAACGTTTCATTATTAACAGGAGTATATATATATATAAATAAATATAAATATAATATATATATATATATATATATATATATATATATTTATATTTTATATACAAATTTATATTTATATTTATTTTTATATTTTTTTATTTATTTTTATATATACATAGACTAATGGATATGCATCATATTTTAAAAATGAATCTTTAATAGATAATTTTAATTAAATTTAATAATAATATAATGAGGAAATAACTACTATTAATTATGGATTATTAAAAAACTATTACGAGGAAGTATTTGCTCCTCCGGCTAGAAAAACGCCTGTTTTTCTTTATAATTTAAAACAATAAATGATTGATTCACTCCCTACTTATTATGCCAAAGTCATGTAAATTTTCAATATAGGAGATTTAGATTATGTCAAAAAAGCAATTTTCTAACCTTTGTAAATAAGTTAAATTTTATAAGATCAAATATGGAATAATTAATAATTTGGCTGGAAAAGGTAATTATATATAAATAAAAGCCAAAAAATAAATATATATAAATTTTTAAAATAACTTAAAATATTCTAAAAACATATATATATATATAAATAAAAGCCAAAATAAATATATATATAAATTTTTTAAATAAATTAAAATCATCTAAAAAACCTATATATATATATATATATATATATATAATTAATAACCTAAATACATATATAAATAAATAAAGTATAAAAAAAAAAAGACATAAAATTTATAATAAAAATAAAATAGTTAAAAATCATTAGCAGAATGGGTAAAAATAGCTTTAAGTCGTCAATACTAATACCATCCAAATTTCCAAATAATAAAAAAAGCTTTAAAAATAGAAGATGATCTTATGCTTAAACTTTCCGGAAAAAGTTCTATGTTAAATAAACTAGCAATTTTAATAAATGGTACTGTTTCAGATTCTATATATGAATATTCATAAAGTGTATGTATGGGAGGTATTTTTTGTACAGAAAATGAATTAGTAAGCTCTTAATGGGCTTCCGGTATTTTAACTACGAAGAGAATTTTTAAACATATGAAAAATCCTTTGAATTTTTCGTTTCATGATTTGAATTCTACTATTCCTAAAAACGCTGAATTGGGTATTTATTTGGAGAAAGGTTCTTTAAATGCCAATGATGGAATGTAATTATTGTCTGTGGATTAAAATACAGGGGATATGTTAGATCCTAATGATCCTGCGGCAAGTGTTAGTATCATTAGTTATTATAATATGGCCTAATTTTATAATAATAAAGATAATTTTGGACTTATTAATTATAATTTGAAACTCTATAATATCTAAAAAGCTAAAGACTTAGTAACTTATATAGATTACTTCGAGAAAAATCTAGTCAAAAAGGAAAATTTATACCCGAATATAGCAAATGAGGAAACTACGACTTTAGCTTGGCTCATATATAAATCTTTTCCGAAATTTTTGAATAAATTTAGTGATTTTTTACTTTAAAGTCTATATGCGAGATCTTTATATAAATAACTTTAAGATATTAAATGTGAAAAATTATTTTAGGAAGAAATTTTAAAAGATATAGGGGAGAAAATTTGCAAAAATAAATATTTCTAATAATATGATATAAGTGCAAATTTCGAAAATAATTTTATATTTGTATAGGCTTTTTTAGGTATATATATATATATATATTTTTTATATATAAATATATATATGTATTTTTATATACTTTTATTCTTTTTTTATATATATTTTAGGTAAATAAGGATCTCAAATATGGAATGATTTACTTTTAATTTTTTAAATTACAAATGATTAATTAGCATTTTTATTATATAATTAAGAAAAATCTAAATATGCTTTATTATTAAATGATATTTAGAATGTATTATAAAAATAATATTAATGTCCTATTGCTTGTAGTGCTTATGAATTAGGTATTTAATAGATTTTATATGGAAATATTATTAATAATTTACCTTCTAAATATTTTTATAAATCTGATAATGCAGATTCTTTACTAGAATGGGATAATGACAAAGTATATATATTTAAATATATTTATTTTAATTACAAAAAAATATAAGAAAATATTTAATAATGGTAAAATAATACCTGAGATAAATAGTTATTTAAAGAAGTTTTTCGGAAAAGAAATTTAAATGAAAGATTAAAATATTTCTCTTTTATAATATAGTGATAACAGTCTATTAGTTTTTAGTTAAATATTAGACTTCGTGTTGTAAATAAAGTAAGGGAAAAATGAACAAATATTTAATCTTTAAAAAGAAGATGCAAATTATGTTTTTGAATATTTAAAACATATATTAATAGAAGAATTATTTGGAGGCCTATATATAAAAAAGTTTTCATAAGAATTACTTTGGGGATATAAAGATAAATATTAAATGGCAAAGGTAAAATAATAATAAATATATATATATATATATATATATATATATATATATATATATATATATATATATATATATATATATATATATATATATATATATATATAAATAATGGCGATTAGTAGATGGAGGTCAACCTTGGATTTCAGAAAAAATATATATATTATAAAAAAATAATTGGAATTTAGCATAAAATTTACAATCAAATGAAGTTAATTGGATAAATACAGGAATTGAAGATATTAATTTGTTAAATAATCACAAAAAAATTTTAGGGAATGATATTATTTATAAAAAATATATAGTTTATGCAAATCCTAATTCTAATTCAAAAACTATATGGTCTTATGTTTTACCTTATAATTTAAATAAAACAGTTAATATATTAATATATATATATACATAAATTAATAAAAATATTATATTTATTTATAATTTTAGGTAAAAGGAAGTAATGGATTTGGTTTTTAAACAAAAATAAATGATGGAAATAGTCTATTATATTTTAATGATTAATAATGTAGAGTTTATGAATTAAAGTAAAACGAAAAAACTTCTTATAAAGAATATGATGTTTATAAATATAAATATGAACCTTCAGTAAGTGATTAATAAGAATTCGAAGATTAAGATGGGTTTATTAATATGAAAAGTTCACTTTTTGATGGAAGTTATGTATCAGATTTATATTTTGGGAATATTAATAATTAGGAAATAGTGAAAAAAATAAATATTGATGGAGTTAATATTAAATAATGTAATAATTCTTTAGTTTAAAATGAAAAATCTTCGGTTTTTTATGTTGAACCTTATACAGGAAAAACAGTTAAGTTTTCTTAAAATTAATAGGTATATTATTATTTTAATAAAAATTATTTATTTAATATAGTTTAATTTTTTACTTGAACCCAATTTATTATTTGATTAACCACATGTAAAAAGGAAAATTTACGTTCCATTTTATATAATGGAATATAATATGAATTTTAATGATTATACAGTAAAAAATAATATATATATATATAAATATATATATATATATATATATATATATATTTACTTATAAAATTTTTAGATGGATTCATATTTTGAAGATATATCTTATAATCGAAGTTTAAATAAAAATATTTTTATTTCGTTTTCCGTTTTGAGTGGTATTAGTCTTATATTGGCAATTGTTTTTGGAGTTATTTATTATAAAAAGAGAAAATAATTTAAAATATCATAGAAAAGTTCATTAAAAGCTAGTTTAATTAATTATTAAGATCATAATTAAATTAACTAAAATAATAGTATAAATTTATATATAAAAATAAATTATTTATATATTTATTATTTAAAAAAACATAGCAAATGAATTAAATTTATAAGAATGATATTTACTTTGAAATAAAATAACAAATATTTATTTAATTTTTTTTTTTTTTTTAAATAAATAAATAAATTATAAATTATAGAAATAAAAAAATTAACAAAAAACTCATTATACTTTCCATTTCATTAATGTCCTATCATATCCTCCTACTGAGTACACATATTTATCTTCATTATCAAATTATATTTTGTAACATGTGAGGAATGTGCCCTATAACTTAAGCATTTATTCCCTTTCAAACATGGATTTCTATATAAATTAACAAATCCCCAATCATCTCCTACAGCAAATATCTACTTATTATTGCTTCTCGAAACTCCATTTACATGTGAGCCATCAGTAGATGGAGGAAAAACACCCTAAACTGGCCATCCTAATTTGCATGTAAAATTATACCATTATTCATCTCTTAATTAAGATGCACCAGCTTATATTTATTTTTTAAAATAATAAATAAAAATAAAATACATTGTAATTATTATCCATTAGAAACTTAAAAGAAAAGATACTCATATGCCCCACAATTAGATTAAATATATTATCCATCACATGACCAATCAAATGAAGTAATAAAAGAATTGTGTTTAGAACATACTGCTACTTATTCGTAATTGTTGTTTACACTTAATATATATATATTATTATCATGCGATCCTATACCAAGGAAATTTCCATCTGGTGAAAAATGCATTACTTCAATCCATTCATTTGAAATTTAATTTTCGTAAATCTTTTTTTTTTATAATTTTTTTTTAATTTTTATTATTATTATTTATTACTTTAGTATCTAAATCTTATATGCTTTATCTTATTGAGAGATATCCATCATTTGTGGCTACTGCTACATGTCCATTAACATGGTTTATTGTTACTGCACGTGAACATTAGTTTGGTGGAAATAATGAAAGGGTAGAAGCACAACCTATATATTAAATTTTTATATTATGTATATATATAAATATATATATATATATATATATATATATATATATATATATATAATTTTTTATAACCTATTTTTTTTTTCATTCCTGGTATAGGATTTATAGTGCCTTAATGTATAACTTTATTTATTTCAGGATTAAAAACTAGTACTTTGTTATCATCTCCACTTGTAATTACCTAATATATTTATTTATATATATATTCTATAATATTTTTTACATATCCTGTTTTCTTATCGACATATAAACCCCATGTTTCTCCGGTCGAATGTCCATTCATCAATGTATTAATTTCTCCATTATTAATTTATTATATACATCCTTTTATTTTTGTTATATAAATAAACAGCGTGAAATTTTTTTTTACCGTTTCTAGTTCCAACTAAAATAACTCCATTATGATAATCAATAGCCCTTGCACAATTAGATAATTAATGTGAAGCTTATATCTCATAAGTATTAACATCTAAAACTTTCAATTATTTATCAATAGCTCCACTTGAAAACATTAATCCATCTTTTACACTAATCGCATGTATAGCTCCATTATGTAATTAAATCTCCTTGGCAGCTTAATTTCCATTCCATATATAAACTGAACCTTTAGAAGATCCTGAAAAGCTTATTCCTGCATTATCCTTATGAAAAGCTACACTTAACATCTATATATAATATTTCTATGTATTAAAAAATAAAAAATACATCAATTTTAGTTTAAGCACCAAAAATACCTCTAGAAGCCTTCAAATAATTTCCATTGAAATCTATAAAGGCACAACCACTTTTTCTAGCTAAAATACATGCATAACTACCTCCACTAGTATCAATATCCATAATAGTCTCATTTCCTGTTTTGTCCATAGAAAGTTTCTATCCAGAAGATACGTCATATACATGTATACAATGATCATTACTCTCATCTACAGAAAATAAATATTTGCCATCTGGCGAGAATTTTATACATTTGGCAAGTCTACTACCCCTTCCTTATTGGATTTTGTGAATTACTTTTTTAGTTTTGGCACTCCATATGTATATTAAAGGATTCTATCCCCTCTAACCAGTCGCTACAGTATCTCCATCTCTGCTTATATCCAAACATTCGATATCATCATTGTGACCTTAGAGGTTAGGAGTTACTAGACCGTCTCCGAAAAACTCTTAATTGTTTGTAGATGTGTCTAATATTATACCAACGGCAGCGGAAAAATATACAATTTTATTAGGCATGGATGTATAGTATCTATATTTTATATTATATTTATTAAATTATTTTAAGCATTTTTTATTTACAAATTCTATCTTGTGTTTTCACATCTGTAACCGTTTACATATTCTAGTTTTAAATGTTATTATGGAGGAAATGCATTATTTTAAGGAGCCTTTTTTTATTTTATTAATTTATTATTATTTAAGGGTGTTTTTTTACGATTTGATGGTTCTTTTAAAACACCTATCCAGGGTTTTACAGCCATAAATTATTCTCCTTCTTCTTTTTCTTAGAGTTCAAATAAACCTTAATCCTATATTTTTAAGTATGTTTTTTGTTTAAAAAAAATATATGTATATGTATATATACATATATAAATATTATTTTATTTACTTCTTCAGGTTTATTTTCTTTAACTTAATACTTATTTACTATTTGTCCGTTAGCATTTTCACGTTTATCATTATATTCCATTTACAAATCTTCTTCGTCTAAATTACGAGGTTCTTTAGAATCATTTGAGGTACCACAACCCATTTTTATTTAATTTAAATGATTTTTTTTTCTTTATTAATTTAAAAATAAATAAATAAGTAATTATTTTCGTTTTTAGAATTTTATTTATAATAAAATATTAATGAATGTTGAAATTTTCAATACTAGTATTTTATTTTTTTTGTAAACGAAAAAAAATAAAAATATCAATTTTAAACAACAGTATTTAATATGATTTATTATATATTGAAGAAAAATATAATTAAATAAAACAAAGGAATAAAAGAATTACATAAATTTTTATAAATTATTATATATGATATATGTAATAAATTTATATATTACTAATTTATTTTATTGATTTTTTTGAATTAAAACAATTAATTAAATAAATATTTATATCATATAAAGATAAGATATGAAATAAAGAAATCGAATTATAATTTTAATTTGGTATTTAAATTTATATATATATATATATAAATTACTAATTTATTTCTAAATTTATAAAATCTTTATTTTACTACATAAATATATAAATAATTAAAAAAAAAAATTAAGGCATTTTTAAAGAATTAGAAAGACTAAAAATATATATAGTTTATTTTTTCTTAAAAAAAAAATATGTAAATAATATTAAATAATTTGCATAAAATAAAACATAATTAATATAAATATATAAATATATATATATATATATTATATATATATATATTTAAATATATATATATATATATATATATTTTATATATTATTATTTTACTTACATTATTAAAATTATTTATATATATATATATATTTATCAATTTATTTTTTAATTATTTGTTGTGGGACAAAATAAACAATCAGTATCTAAACCTTATGAATCAAATTATATATTTCCGTATTTTAATTTTTTATCTATTATATCATTTGCCATTATATCGTAAAATTCATCAAAATTAAGTACTTGTTTCATGCCAATAATCTAATCGTATTTATTTTTATCATATGAATCTTAATATCTTTGTCTTAAATTTGAAACTTTAATCATTCCAGTTTCAGGGTCAAGTGAATCAAAAACATTTTTTATCATTATAACTTCATCTTTATTTAAATTGGGTCTTGTATAATTTTAATATTTAAAATTATTTTCTTATTATTATTAATTTCCCATATTTTTTTTTATTTTTTTAGATAAAATTATTAATTATTTATTTATTTATTTTCATTAACAAAAATTTTATATATTGTAAGCTAAAATATATATATATATATAATTATTAATTTTACAAAAAGAAAAAATAAATAAATCTTAAAAAAACAAAAAATACAAAAAAATGGAATAATCATAAATTTCTTAAGAAGTGCTATAATAATATAATAAATTAAAAATGGAATATAGTGAAATTTTAAGAACATCAATGGATATAGAAGAAGAAAAGCGAGAAAATACATTGGTTTTAGATACCATTAAAAACTTGGAAAATGACAGAAAATGTTGGAGATTAGTTGGAGGTGTTTTAGTAGAAAGAACTTTAGGAGAAGTAGTTTAATCATTAAAGGAAAATGTCGAAGTTTTTGACAAAACAGGAATTACATATTAAACTGCTTTATAAAATAAAGAAAAGGCTCTATTGGAATTCGAAAACTAATATAATTTGAGACCTAATAGAGACAATTTCGGTAAAAAAGATGACGGAACTAAAAAAACATCGGTTTTAGCTTGATTAATTATTTATTTTATTTTTCGAAAAGAAATTATATATATAAATAATTTATTTAAAATGAAAAATGATAAATTATTTCTGTTTTTTTTTTTAATGGAAATTTATTTTTTGTTTTTTATAAAAAAAAAATCTTTTTTTTTTTTGTTTAAAAAAAAAAAAAAAAATTTAAAAAAAATAAATAAATAATTTTTTTTTTTTAAAAAAAAAAAATCAAAAAAATAATTAAATAAAAAAGGTTATCAATAAATTTTATATATGTTTACAAAAAGCATTATGAAAGGTTATCTTCCTAAAACGGAAGAAGAGATATAAGAAGATCTAAAATAAAAAGAAATCGAAAGAAGAATAAATTATAAACCTTCCGATTTATTACTAAAAAATGTTTAAAAAAACGTTTAACCAATAATTAATGCTTTACGAGAAAAAGGTAAAAATCGAATAGATAAATAATATTTTAAAATAAAAATTTAGAAGTGAACAACAATTAAAAAGAAACAAAAGAAACAGGGGTAATATTCCATACTGATTTCGAGAAAACCTTAAAGGAATAATCAAAATAATTGAATTAGGAATAATATTAATAAGAAAATATAAATATTCGTAAAGACAAAATCTTAAATGACTATAAATAGGAAAAAACAAAAGAAATAGAAAAGATGTCGGCCTAAGAAATCGATAAAAAGCTAGAAGAAATAGATAATACAGCATTAAAAGAGGAAAATTATAATTATTTAAATCTATTTGGAGTTACTCGAGGACGTTGTATGATGCCTGAATGTATGAAAGCATGTGTATAATATAGAGGTAGTTATAATATAAAATCTTATTAAGGAATTGAGCTTTTTTCGTGTTTAAATTGTAAATGTCCCATGAATCTGCATGAAGTTCCTGAATAAGAATTTTCCTTTTCAAATTAATTAAGTTAGGAAATTAGTGGAAAATATATAGAATCGAAACAGCTTAATTTTAAGTCTTTAGTAAGTATTTTTTTAGTTTGGCCTTAAGAAAAAGATGCGAATACCGATAAATTTAGAAAATATCCAGTTCCTGAGTATTAAATTAGGAAAAGATAATAATAAGAGACTATATATAATGCTAATTTGGAAAAAATGGTATAAATTTTAAATGAAGGGTGTTTTGATGTAATGAGTTATTATGATTGTAATGCAAACTAGTTAAAGGAAAAACTAATTGAAAAGAAGATTTATTCGATAAAAAAACCAGTTGCGAAAAATGAGATGGAAGAGTTTTTAAGCTTTATTAAGGTTTTTAGAAACGAGGAAACAAAAATATAGAATTAAAAGGCGAATTCTATAATCAATATGTTAAATAATGAAAAAGATTTATATAAACTATAACTTTATTTAAAATATAAGGAGAAAATAGAAAAAAAATTCGAAAAAGTTATTAATTTACACTAAAAATATATACAAAATGCTAAAGTCTTTATTTTATTGATTTCTTCTAAATATACCAACCCATATACGTAGTTTAGAAGATTTCTGGTTTCAGCTTAAAATTAAATGCCTTAGGAGTTTGTTTATTATTATTCGAGTAAGTATAAGTATAAAGGAATTATCGATTGTTAGTAACTTTTCCCGGATTTCTTTAAAATTACATATTAGACGTTTATTTTAGCTTAACATGTGCATAGGAGTGTACTTTTATAGGCAGATTAAGATAAATCATTGAATGAAGAAACAAGAAGAAGAAAAAAAAACCAAATAAAAGAAAGAGAAATATAAATAAATGATGGAAGACTTAGAGATTATTTAGATTTTAATAATTTCCAAGTAGTCTCTGAATAATTTGATTGTTAGCCATAATAACTTTATAAAGCTTTTGATTTTATAGACGAAGATAATTTCAAAAGGGAATCTTTTCTTTAATTTTGTTAAATAGGAACAAATGAATTAAATATTAAGATTTGTGCAAAAATAGGACCACCTACATATACTACTATCAGTAATAATATACCTAATGTATATAGAATTACCGATTAGTATGATAATGATAATATTGCTACTCATTTATGTAAATAATTAAATAATTCGTAAAGAATTGCTATTGTAATTAGACCGATTGTTGTAAAAAGTAAATTAGATGAACTTATTTTGAATATCTTTAGAATCAATGACTTTATTATTGTCAATAAGGTTTTTGCTATACTTACTTAAAAACAAGTTAATATTTTAGCAAATTTAGAAAATATTAGTTCTGCTAATAGGTAGTCTTACATTAATATGATGACTGAAGGTAATAAAGATATAAAAATAAAAAACAAAAAATATATACATAATTATATATTTATAAATATTATAAATATTATAAATATTATAAATATTATAAATATTATATATTAATATATATATATATATATATTTATATTATTTTTTATATTTATTTTATTATAATATTAAAAGGGTTTGTTTTAATTGTTTTATTAACTAAGCCTGGAGGTATTAAAGCTGTTGAAATTCTATCTGATGGATGTAATACTGGTCTAAAATTATCAAAGACAAATTTTTTAGAAGAACTATATGTAGAACACAATTAGGGAGGATTAACATTTAATGAAAAAATTCAAAAATAATTTTATAATGTATTTTAATCTTATACAAATTTAAATATGTTTAGTGGAATTAAAGATTTTTTTAACATAGAAAAGCTAATTTTATAAGATGATGAATATGATGATGAAATAAATAATATTTTTATAAATAAAGAATCAAATTAAGTGTTTTACAACCCCTAACATAATAAAGAAGTAAATCTAGGAAAAAAATATAATCCTTAAAAAAGAATTAGTATTATAGAAGATGTAAATAATGAGAGTAAAACAAGATATAATATATATATATATATGTATATATATATATATATATATATATATATATATATATATATATATATATATTTATATTTATAATAGGATACAATTTTTTTATATATTCTCCAAAAGATGAAATAACTACCGAGTAAATTGTTTCTATTTTTATGCCTGAATGTGCTTCTATATAACTAATTCATTTAATCTTAAAACCTTAATACATTCAATATATAAGTCAAGTAGAGAAAATGTTATAAAAAATGAAATTTAAAGTTTGGTATAAATGCTAAAAAGTAATAAATAATCCTTTAGATGCTCGTTTATTTATTGAATCGATTTAAGTTTTAAAGACTTAATCTAGTTAAACTGAATAAATATACACTTCTTATACTACAACCCCTTTTTATATTATTTCTTGTGTAAAACCGGCTGGTAGGAAAGAAATGTTGGCATTTTTGTAAGATTTCAAGCTTAATGATAAAAATATAAAAATAGAGCCTATTAATATACTCTCTTTAAAAAACATGCTGATTCCATGCCATACAGATAATTCACATGATTTGGCTCAAAGTTTTATTAATCCGAAACTTAGGGCTTTTTCGGGAAATGAGGTTAAGGAATTTAATATAGAAGATTAAAAAATGGTAATTAGATTTATGTTAGAGAGCACTTTTGCGACTAGTATACATCCTGAAAAACCTATTATGGAAGAAATATAGATTTAAAATATACTTTATTCAAAAGATTTTGTGCATTTTCACGTTAATTCAGATGATTTAGGGGAATTCGAAATCAGAATTTACGATTTTTAGTCTAGTTTCAATTAAGATGCTTCTTTTGGGAGTATTTAGAACGATTTCTATTTAATTTCATGGTTTTATTCAGTGATTAATAATAAATATATGCAAAGATGTCCCTTGACTTATTAATATAGATTAATGCCTGATTATAAGAACTTCGAAGAAGAAAAAAAAAACGTTTAAAGACCTAGTCAAATTTTTGATGTGCAGGAATATATAGGAGGATTTTTCCTTGAAGAAGTAGCTAAATAAATGATGCTTTACAGATAATATGAAATGTCGGAATAATAAAAAGAAACACTCAGGAGGAATAATATAACCTCGTATAGAGGATCTATTGCTGCATATTTGTGGGGAATGAGATTGGCTAAATTTGCTAAAGAAATCGAAAATTTAAGCTTTCCATAGGATTTGGAAGGGTTTGGGAAAATAGAAATGGTAGAGGGAAAATTTTAAGGTTAAAATAGGGACGGGGAAGGCTTTTTGGAAGAGGATATAAAGAAATACTTCGAGATTTTAGCCAGAGTTTAAAATGAATTAAAATTAGAGGATATGCATTAATTTTAGATGGGAAGTTTATTTAAAAAACTGGAGAATAAATTAGATTAAATTAAAAGAAGTAAAATTTATAAATATAGTAGGTAACATAAAATGAGAAGAATTATGCCTAATTTTATAGAAAATGAAAATCTAAGGGTCAGAGTAGATAATAAGTAGATTTTTAAGAGAGTAATTAATGAAAACTTCGAGACTTAAGATGAAGTTTTTGAAAAAAATAACGCTAATGTTAGTATTTAGGAAGATATTAAAGAATTAGAGGAATATTTAATTTAATTGGAGAAATTTTAGGGTACGTAAGAGGATACTTAAGAGGAAGATTTTTTCGAAGTGAAAAAAATGAAGAAATTTATGGATGAAGAATAATATATGTACTTATTATTATAGACTATAGAATAAAAAAAGGAAAGTCTATCAAAAGAATTAGAAATTAATAATAATAATCATTTTCATATAAAAAATGGTGGTTAAAATAAAATGGAAGAAAATTATGAAAATAATGAAAATTTATAAGAATAATATTAGTCATTTTCTAAGTCTATATAGATGTTTTTACAGTCTAAAAATCTATATGAAAAAGCATAAAAACTCAAAAATATGAATATTACTAAAATTAATACTTTTTCATTATCTTATACTATTCCTGAAATTAAATCTAAGTATTTTTTAGCTGCAAATATCCTATATTTAATTCAAGTGCATTTCCAAGTAATTTCTAATTAAAAAAATTTCGTAAATGATGACGAAATTGAATACAAAAACCTCTTAGAGGCTATAAATCATGGTTTTAACACTCATTATAAGATGGATTCGGAAGATATATAATATATGAGAGAATAATACTAAGATAAAAAGATGGAAATGAGGGATAAATTGTTCTCTATACCCGATTTGATAAAAATGGAGTAGTTTTTAGTCTATTTAAGCTAATTAGATAGATATTTAAATATCATAAATGACTATAAAAAGCTTATAGAAAAGCTACTTTTTGAATTCAATAAAGAACTGCAAGTTCTATAGGAATAAATAATAATAAAAGGGCGAAATGAATACGAACTTTCTCGTATAAAATAAAAATGGACACCTAAAATTTAGGAAATTACTAATAAAAAAAAAACGTGGAATAAAATATTAGAAACTTACTAAGTATAGTTCTAGAATTTAAAATAGACTTTAATTATGAAGAATCTATGTATTAATAATAAACTGAAAACACCCAAAAATAAAAGATTTTCAAAAATACTTATTTCCAAAGATTCGATAATGGACTAGAATATTTCGAAAATGACCCCGAACTAGACTAGTTTTAAGTAGATATAATGGAAATTCCATATAAATTCGATATTAAAGAAGATAAGCCTAATTTAAAGCTAAATAAGAAGAATTTTAGAGAACCTCTACTAGAAAAGTATGGAGATTAGGATATACTTAAAGGCTTCGAGTAAGATTCTATGCAGAAAAAATGGTTCTATTAGTAGCCATTGAAGATTTCTCATATGAGACCGCTTAGAGTGGAGGATAGGGATTATATTTTAGTTGAGAAGAAATAAAAAGATACAATTGGGAGTGATAATGCTGCCATAGATAAGGAAATTAGGGAGTTTAAGAAAAAATAAAAAGAAGAATGGAATGATTAGGATGGTGGTGAGTAAGATATATAATATTAAATAGAAAAAGAAGACGAGAAAAAATAATAAAATACAAATGTTTATTTTAAAGAACTTATAGATAATTTTTGGAATAATTTAGATGTTTAAGATATTAATAATAAACAAAAAACCAGAAAGAAAAATTGATTTTTAATAAATATATAAATTTGTAAAATAAAAAATAACAAAATAGCAAAATATTAAAATTTTATATATTTATATTTTGAAAAATGTGTAATTAATGTTCATGTTTATTTTTTTTATAATATATATCGAAAATTCAAATATTAATAATGAAATATGAGCAATTAGATACAAATAAATAAATAAATAAAATATATGTAAATATTATAAGGAAATAAAAAAAAATGGTTCTATATTTAAAAGAATTATTTTAAAAAATTACATAAATATAATGAGTAGATAATCATATATTTGTTATTTAATTTCTCAATTAAATAAAATATTCAGATAATACAAATGAAGAGAAAAAAATAATAATAAGAATATGTGATTTCAAATTTATATTTTAAATTAAATAAAAATATACGAACTATTAATATCTTATCCAAAAATAAAAGAAAGAGGAATATATTTATCTAAGGTTAAATAAATATCTATTTTTATATAAAATATGAGATATAAATAAAGGGTATTGAAATAATTTTATAAAAATTGTATAATATATAAATATAAGAGTAAAAATATAATTTAAAGATATAAAAATTATAATAAAAATAATAGTAAAAATATATGGGATATATATATATACAAATGTTGCAAAATAAAAAGAAAATTTTTAATATAATTTATAATATGGATAAAATAAAATTATATAATATAGTAATAAATATAAAGAATAAATGAACATATGTAAAAAAATATATCTATATAATATATAAAAATATAAATATTTATATATTTCTATATTTGTATTTTTATAATATATTTTTAATTTCTTATATTTTTTTATTTTTTAAATTATCTTATATTTTTCTTTTATTTTATAAAATATTAATTATAAATTTATTTTAAATATCTTTATTATTAATTTTTCAAATATTCTCTTTTATTTTATATACTGAATTAATAATAAATCTTTAAATATAAAGTTTAATATTTTATCTTATTTTAAATATTTTTAATTTATTTCTATTTTTTATAAATATTTTTAGTATTTTATACTTTTTTTAATTCATATTTTTTCTTATTGTTTCTATTAATATGTTTTTATAATTAAAAACAATATTTTTCTTTTTTAATTTTATTCGAACTTTATCGATATTTTTTGAGTTAAAATTCATATTATTATTTCAGTATTATCAATTTTAATTTTGTTTTTTATTTTTTTTACTAACCCTTTGTAATTTTAAACCTTTTTTTTATTTATTTATTCTTTTCTTCTTTTGATTTAAATTATTAATTATATACAGTGTATTATATATGATATTCCTAATTGTGTCTCTATAATGTATGCTTTTGCAATTTTTTGTTATCTTCTAATATTCTTTTTATGAATATTTTGATATATATTTATTATTATACATATATATATATATATATATATTTATATCTGTTAATTTATATTTTTGTGTGTTTTTATTTTGAAAATATTTTCGAATAAAATAAAATAATTTGTAAAAAAAAAATTAATTTATTTTGTATAAATAAAATGTTAAATTTTAAATATTTTAAATTTTTTATAATGTATAAATAGATATATCAATTGCATTTTTCCTTAATAACCCTTTAAATTTTTTCAACCCAAATATTAGCTGGATGATCAAGTTCCTTTTTTTTATTTATTTAAAAATAAAAAAAATAATAAAATAATATACTTTAAAAAAATATTTCTTTTTTGGTCCATTAATAGTGAATTTAATTTTTTCCAATTGTTCAATATCTACCTTATTATTTAAAAGAATTTCTCCCTTTTTATTTTTTTTTAAAATACATTAATTAAAATAAATGTATATCTTTACTTTTTTTATATTAGTATTGGGATCATAATAAATTAATTTAGGAGGTTCTTCATATAAAATTAATTATCTAGGTTTATATATCATCCAAGCTACTTTTTTTAATACTCTTCCTGTCAAAATAGGTCTATTAGATCCTGAAGTAATTTTAATAGGACTTCCTAATTCCCCACCATCCAAAAATTCGGCATCATCTAGTTCTAATTAGATTAAAACTTCTCTTTTAGGAGCTTATGTTTTGCTTAGATTTTCCCAATCAATTCCAGTAAAAAAAGGGTGATTTTTTAACGCATTTATATCATTTTTTTAACCGATTTCACCACCACCTAATCTTTCTTATGGATTTTTTTATAATAATTTTTTTATCAAATCAGCCGCATCAGCTGGTACATTCTTAAATAAATATATATATATATATATATATATATATATATTATATATATATTTATATATATATATATATATATATATATTCTTTATTACAGAGGGTATATTATATTATCCTTATTTAACTTTATTAAATATTTTATATTCATTCATATCATTAGTATCTGCAAATGGAGTATTTCCTACAAACATTCTATATAAAATACAGCCTAAAGCCCAAATATCAGCTGATATTGTACAGAATTCACCTTCTAATAATTCAGGTGATACATATCTTATTTTTTTAGTTATAAAATATATAAAAAAATAAAAAAATAAACCCTGCAGTTCCTACAAATGTCGATGATCTATTTCTGCTATTAAAGTCTTCTTTTTCTAATGGATTTGTTTCTTCCGGAAACCTACTTTTAATAGCATTTATTTTATTATATAATGATTCAGGGATATTTATATCAAAACCACATGTACCAAAATCAATTATTTTTAAATGATTATCTTTTGTAAGCATTAGATTTTCAGGCTCTTTTTTTATTGTTTTTATTTATTTTATTTAATATAATGTTATTTTTACTTTTAAGTCTCTATGTATTATACCATTTTAATGTAATTTTCTAATATATAAACTATTTCAGCTGTATAAAATTAAATTGTTTATGTATTTAAATATTTAAATTATGATTCAAATAACTTGAAATTCACCTCCTTCACAATATTCAATAACAAAATATAAAAATTAGGCATCTTAAAAATTTCCAACTAGTTTAATAATTCCATCAAATTTCATAAAACTTAAAACTTCTTTTTCTATAAAAACTTAATATTATTTTTTTCCTTTTTTTATTTATTTTAAATTAAAAATAATATATTTATTTATTTTAATTTTTTTACTTTTGCTAAATAAGATTTTTCAAGAATTTTTATTGCACAAAATTCATTATCTATTTTTTGCTTTGCTAAAATTACTTCCCCGTATGCTCCTCTACCTAAAACTCTTATTATTTCGTAATCATCCATTGACTATTTTTTAAATTCTTTGTTTGTATATAAATTTTAAATTGTTTTTTATTAATATTATATATTTGCTGTACCCATTTTTTATATGTATTTTTTATATAAAATAATAATTATTTTTATAAATATTTTTATTTGAATAAATAATTTATACATATAATTACTATAAATTCAAAAATATTTCAATTCTATTAATTAAAAA